ACAAAATCGTGGAGGGATCTATATCCTAGAAGGCAGTACGGTAATGGGATTGGTGGTTATCTCCCAATCCTTGAATGAAGGTGATGACAAGACAGAGTTGTGGCATTGTAGGTTGGGGCACATGAATGAGAAGGGCATGTCGGTTCTAAGTAAACAAGCACTGCTTGGTGGAGAGGCTACCGGAAAGATAAAGTTTTGTGAAGCTTGCGTTAAGGGAGAGAATATCAAAGTGAAGTTCGGTACCGGTCAACCCACAAGCAAGGATATCCTGGAGTATGTTCCACTCAAAATATGTGGGGCCCTGCACCAGTGAAGTCTCAAGGAGAATTCTCATACTTTGTGACGTTCATTGATGATTATTCAATGAAGGTTTGGTTGTACTTTATGAAGACCAAATATGAGGTGTTTGGGAAGTTCAAGGAGTGGAAGACCATGGTTGAGAAAAGGACTGGAAAACAGGTCAAGACTCTGAGGACTGACAATGGGTTGGATTTCTGCAATGCTTCATTTGACAATTTCTGCAAGACAGAAGGTATAGTGAGGAACCGCACTGTACGACACACACCACAAAAAAATGGAGTGGCATAACGGATGAACCAAACTCTCATGCAACGTGAAAGGTGCATGCGGATATTTGCTAACTTATCCAAGCAATTATGGGCGGAAGCAGTTAACATTGCTTGCTATTTGGTGAACAGATCACCATCAACTGCAATAGACTTGAAGACTCCTCAAGAGGTGTGGTCCGGGAAACCCTTTGACTGTTCTGCTTTACATATATTTGGATGGTCGCATATGCTCATGTGAATGATGGTAAACTTGATCCAAGGGCAATGAAGTGCATATTTCTAGGATATGTGACAGGAGTAAAAGGTTATCGAATGTGGTGTACAAAAAAGAAGGAAGAACTCCTAAATTTATCATGAGCAGAGATATGACCTTTGATGAATCTGCCATGGGTAACCATGGAGGAGGTGAAACAAGTCAAGCAGGGAACAAAGATCAGGGTGCTAGCCAGAAGGTGGAGTTTGCAACTCAAACTCCAGATAGAGTTGTTATAAGTGACATACAGCAAGGCGGTAGTGAACAGCCTGGGCAAGATGAAACCCGTGAGCAACCCATGGGATCTTCGTCCAATGGTGCTAATGTAGGGAAGGATGATGTGTCTGAATCTATAGCAAAGAGAAGATCAAGGAAGGTCATTCAACAACCTGATAGATATGTGGGATGTGTGAATTCTGGTGAACTTGACTCCATTGCTTTTGCTTTAGTAACTGGAGAAGACATTGACACCGAGGAGCCTCAATCGTATAAAGAGGTTGTGGCGAGTAAAGAAGCAAATGATTGGTTGATGGCCATGAATGAAGAAATGCAATCTTTAGAGAAGAATGAAACATGGCATCTTGTTCCATTACCAAAGGGAGCAAAGCCAATGGGATGCAAATAGATATTTAAGAAGAAGGAAGGGATACCAGGAGTTGAACCAGCTAGGTTCAAGGCAAGGTTGGTGGCGAAATGGTTTTCTCGGAAAAAAAGGAATTGATTATCACGAGGTGTTCTCAACGGTCGTGAAGCACAAGACAATTCGGGTTCTTTTGGCCATGGTGAGTGCATTTGATCTGGAGCTTGAACAACTTGATGTGAAAACTGCATGTCTTCATTTCAACTTAGAAGAGAAAATTTATATGTCCCGACCAGAAGGGTTCCTTGATTCTAAGAAGGATCATGTATGTTTGCTGAAGAAATCCCTGCATGGGTTGAAGCAGTCTCCAAGACAATGGTACAAGAGATTTGGTTCATTCATGATCTTCAATGGCTACACTCAGAACCAGTTTGACAATTGTGTTTACTCAAAGGAATTGTCACCAGATTCCTACATATATCTTTTGCTATATGTTGATGATGTGCTCATCACAGCCAAAGACATGGCTGGAATAAATGACTTGAAGGCGACCCTGAAGAATGAGTTTGAGATGAAGGATTGGGGAGCAGCAAAGAAGATACTGGGGATGGAGATTCAAAAGGACAGAAGTTCATGGTAGCTATGTGTTTCTCAACAAAAGTACTTTGAGAAAGTTCTATAGTCCTTCAATTGTGATCATTCCAAGCTAGTTGAAACTCCTTTGGCGGCTCACTTTAAACTTGGTACAAGCACTATTCCCACTACTAATGAAGAAAGGAAGTACATGCGCAGGGTTCCATACTCAAGTGCTGTTGGAAGTCTCATGTACGCTATGGGTTGTACCAGACCTGATTTGGCTCATGCAGTTAGTGTGGTTAGCAGGTTTATGAGCAATCTAGGGAAGTCTCATTGGGAAGCTGTAAAGTGGATCTTGCGATACTTGAAGGGAACAACGGATGTTTGCTTGGTGTATGGAGCTAATATGAAGAGTGACTTGGTGGGATATGCTAACTCTGATTATGGTGGTGATTTGTTGAAGCGCAGGTCACGGACGTGCTATATATTGACTTTGTTTAGACGTGCCATCAGTTGGAAGTCAACGTTACAAGATACCGTTGCTTTGTCTACAACTGAATCCGAGTACATGTCCATGACTGAAGGAATAAAGGAGGAGATATGGTTACAAGGGCTTATTCAGACTCTTGGTCTGAAGGTGGAGAAGCCTGTCTGGTATTGTGACAGTCAAAGTGTTTTAAGTCTTGCTAAGAACCCTGTGTACCAAGAGAAGACAAAGCAAATTGATGTCAAGCCGAATTTCATTCGGGATATTCTGAAAGGAGACAAGTTTTCAATACTAAATATTGATACCAAGATCAACCCAACAGATATGTTGACAAAGTTGTTGCCCGCGGAGAAGTTCAAGCTTTGCTTGGACTTGGTTGATGTTCGCAGGAGGTTGGTCCCTTCGGGGACGAACGACAGGAAGGGAGAGGAAGTTCTTGTTCTAGGTGGAGTTTAGAGGATGCTCAAGTCAAGGTGGAGATTGTTAAATGTGGCTTGAGCATTTGGATCATGTTTATGGAGCATTTGGAGCTCGATGGAGCACTTAGGGTTCATGGAACATGTGACAAAGAAACGAATCATCTGAGAAAGGAATGGATCGTTTGACAAAGGAACAGATCAAGTGCCAAAGGAAAGGATCATACAGAAGGGGGTATGGAGCACCTGGAAGAGGTTTAGAGCACGTGGGAGTGATATGGAGCAACAAAGGAACCTTGTTGCGCCATATGTTGAAGGGATGGGCCAAGAAGGATGCTGTTGCGCCAAGGGCATTCCTTCTTGCATCATTATGCTCCCTCTTACGCCATGAGGGGTTCCTCTTGCGCCATGCATGGCCTTGTTGTGCCATGTATGTTCCTGTTGCGCCAAGGTGGTGCAAGTTGGACCATCTTGGTCCTTGATGAGCCAAGTATGCCATGAAGTCCTCTATGATGCTCAAGAATATTTCAGAAAATGCTGCATGACGGTATATGATTGGTTGCCTCCTTTCATGGGCCTATGGGCCAATGGGTTTGGCCCATTAGGGTTTTGGGTCTGATCCCTCAAGTATAAATAGGGATGCATGCTAGGTCATTTTGTATCTTGTATTCTAGAGTGATAGGAAAATCTCTGTGAAATTGTACTTGTAACCTCTGTTTGAGAGCTCTGAAATAAAGAATACTCCCCTCATGCCCGTGGACGTAGATCACCTTGACCGAACCACGTAAATACCGTGTCTTGTGTGCTTATAGTTTTGCTAGTTATCCGCTTTACTTCCTAACATCCCACTTTTTGTTACTGTTTATCTTCCTATTTGTTAGATCAAGACAAGTGTCAAACGAGATTAAAAGAGAATTAGTGGATTCTACATATCATTGTTTTATATGAATACGAAGATAAATAAGAATAAAAGGTGGAATAATATTTAACTTTTCATATTTTAACGAAATAACTTTAAATAAATAATAATAATTATACTATATATCATTTACCAACGTCTGTGGATGTTTCCATCAACGATTGACATCCTCCTATTTTGTATTATAGTATTTTTCACCATCTATTTTATAAAATCACTTTCATCACATTAACTTTGAACAATGATATTTTTTCATTCATTTATTTTGTAAAATGGTACTACAAAATGTTGTAATACTCCCATTTACTTTGTAAAATCACATTTTTCATCATCTACTATTTAAATACTTTGTAAAGTGATATTTTTCATCCCTCTATGTTTTAAAATGTTATTTTTCATCCATCAACTTTGAACATTATAAAATATTTTTTCACCCCCTCTATTTTCTAAACTTTCGTGTTTATTCCTGATAGTATATATCATATAGTTTTCTTAATAACTTTCGTTTGTTATCTTAAAAAAAACTAAGTTTTTACGTTCTTATTTTATGTATGTCTGGTATAAATTCAAAGTGATTAACGTTTCTACGTAAATTTAGAATTTTCGTTCATTAATTTAAAAAGAAAAACTTACTTGCATTTTTTTATGTACGTATCGATATAAATTTGAGTTTGTTCACGTTTCCTACATATGATTCTGATCACATATATTACGTTTTTTTTATTAGAACTTCTGTTCGTTAACTTAAAACAACTTATTTACTTATTTTTATATATGTTTCGGTATAAATTTGAGTTTTTGACATTTTGATCATACTTATTTTATTTATTTTTCTTATGTATGATTTTTGTCACATATAATAATTTTTAACTTGAAGTTATAAATTGATACTAGTGTTATATATTTATTTACCAACAAATATTACCGTACTTTAATTTTATCAATTCAATAGAAAAAAAAACTAACTTACAAAATACATTAAAACACCCAAATTTAAAGTCCTGGTTTTATAATTAAGATCAAAATTATGAGTTTGGCAACATCAATCGGTTGGACATTGTGTCGAAAACGACCCCCTATAAATACATTATTGATTTACGAATGGAAAACCGTCAAATAGATCTCCGATAAAGTCAACAATTCTAGAGAGAGAAAGCAAAGTGTCGGAGAGAGAGGAATCGTGGACTGCTGAAGGCGGTGATGCGTGGAAGCAGGTGGCAGAACAATGAAGAGATCACGGTGGAAACTTTCTTCGTCTTATAAACAAGTTATTAAAATGGCAACTCGCCGCTCCATCCGAACCCTAGCGCCCAATCCCTCTTTTCAGTTAATTTTATAGCAGAAGCTTCCACGTAAGGGATCTATGCTCTTTCGCCCATTGTTTTTCTTCTTCTAATCGCGTTTTTGTTGTATTTCGTTGAGAAGTTTGAAACGTCTTTGGATTATTCTTTTCTTGTCTTGTATATAATGTTACGATGGATGAACAGTTCGTTACGGATACCGGAGGAATTAAGGAAATGACGGAGGTAGCGAAATTGTTGTACATAGTGGTGGAGGAGGACGAAGAAACGAAAGGGAATGAAGAATCGTCATTTAGATACACGCGTCCTGTTCTCCAGAGCACTTTGCAGTTGATGGGCTGTAAAGCACGTCACGCCTTCAAGGTTAGTAACTCAATTTCTCATCATACTCTCAATTTATTTGTGGCGTGGTTTCCGTTGAAATTGAATCACAGTTCATGATCATGTCGCTGCAATCGAATGTTAGCGAAAATAATTCCAGATTTGGATGTTAGCTTTTTCTCATTTCTGTAAAAGATTAGTTAGATCTTCATAAATCTTACTGTTGCACCGAAAGTGATGTTTCTTTTTCCACTTTAACTTTTACCAGAAAGCGACTTCTCTAAAATTTGACTTCTTGTCCCAATTCGAATTAGATCCTACAGAGTTTTGCTTACAACTGATGATGTACAAATTCCAATTTCATTTACTTGCATAGATTCATCTATCGTTTGTATTTTTAGCTACTTTTATCCGGAATCTCTCTCTTGACCTTAAGATCTGTATAATATACTCGTATACAGCTATCACCATAGTTTAAACCTTTTAATATATGAGGTCTAGTAATCACTGAATATGATCTTACTTTCATACAGATAAGCCAAAGGGTATTTGAAATCATGAGAAATAAATGCTTAGAGGAAAGTTTGGCAGACATAGGTGTAATTCAATGGGGAAAAGATTTCTTGAAAGTTCATCCTCTGTCTGATAAGATGAATGGAAGCAATCATGTGGTTTCAGAGAAAGATGGCACAACTAAGAGCAAGCCTTTTGAATCATACAAAAAGCGCACTACAATTGTCATCAAAAGAAAGAGGTTCATAGATGTTGTATGTGATGCTCTTTCTGAATACAAGTATATTGGTCCCAATCAAAGGGCTGACTTTATTTTAGCCTGCAGGTATTCCTAAATTTAACATAATCATTCATACTATACATTGATATTTCTTACATTTATCCTTAAAAATTCAAATTTTTCTGCCTTCTTTTTTTTCAGAATTCGGGAAAGAAAGGAATCTGTGACTGTTCTACTCTGTGGTACAAGTGGATGTGGCAAATCTACATTGTCAGCTTTACTGGTATGTCATAAATTTTCCATTTTTCATGTGTCAATGAATTACTTGAATCAAAGTCTCAATCTTTTATCATCATATAATGTTCTTGATCTTATAATTTCAAGAATGCTCAACTTATTCTTGTAATTTGATACAATAAACAAAATCAATGAAAGTACATTGCTATTTCAGGCTAGCAGATTAGGGATCACAACTGTTATATCTACAGATTCAATACGCCATATGATGAGAAGCTTTGTTGATGAAAAACAAAATCCACTCCTATGGTCTTCTACTTACCATGCAGGGGAACATCTAGATCCAGTAGCTGTTTCAGAAGCCAAAGCCAAAAAAAAAGCCACAAAAGAATTTGATTCTACTTCCAAAACTGAACCTGTTCCTAAAGAAGGTTCTAGTTTGACCACAGTTGACTTAATTAGCCCTAAACAAATGGCCATTGAAGGTTTCAAAGCACAAAGTGAAATGGTCATTGATAGTCTTGACAGACTTATAACTGCATGGGAAGATCGAAAAGAATCAGTCATCGTGGAGGGTGTCCACCTCAGCCTTAATTTTGTGGTACGTACTACAAAATTGAATGAGGGGTATTTTAGTCATTTTACCTCTTCGTGCATATAAGCACTTTATATGGACAGCTAACATGGTTGTTTAATAACCCTTTACCTATTTGCCCTTCTTCTTTTTTCCTCTATATTCCTTTCTTGTTAAAACTGATGAATGTTTTGAAATTTGTTTCTTTTTGACTTGATCTGGATAGAAAGATTTAATAAGTTAATCATTCCATTACATATGAAGCTAAAGTTTGAATCTTTTTATAATCTTGTAGATGGGTTTAATGAAAAAACATCCATCAATCATCCCATTCATGATCTACATCACAAACGAGGACAAACACATGGAAAGATTTGCAGTTCGTGCAAAATACATGACATTAGACCCTGCAAAAAACAAATACATAAAATACATAAAAAACATAAGAACAATTCAAGAATACCTCTGCAATCGAGCAGACAAACACCTAGTCCCAAAAATAAACAACACAAATGTCGACAAAAGTGTCGCAGCAATCCACGCGACAGTTTTCAGCTGTTTAAGAAGACGTGATTCCGGAGAACCACTTTACGATTCCGCCACCAACACCGTATTTGTGATTGATGAGGAGTATCGGAATCAGTGTGTGGCTAATTCCATCGGGTCGAAAGGAATGTTTCAGTTGATTCAAAGACAAGGTTCTTCGAGGCATTTGATGGCTCTTTTGAATAACGATGGGTCGGTTGCAAAGGCGTGGAATGCCGAGGACGGAATGGGGATTCCGATGTATGGAGCGGTGCGGATTGGGAAGTCGGAATCGGTGAATCTGCAGTTTGGTAACTTCGGAATCAGTGCTTGGCCGAATGAACTTGGGTGCACTAGTCATGCTAGCAGTGTTGATGAAGTTATGGAGAATGGTAGTAGACATTATTCTTCATGTTGTAGCTCACCAAAGTTCTCAGAAGGACATGCTAAAGAGGTATATTTAATGTTTTTGTATGAGTAAATTACATTTTTGGTCCCTGGGTATAGCTGATTTTTGTAATTTTGGTCCCTAAAATATAATCATGTTATTTGGAACAGAGATAAAAAAAACGTTGCAAAAACCTCAAATAAGGACCAAAATTTCAAGAAAAAACCTTTTCGGGGACAAAATTGAAAAAATCAGCTATTCTTAGCAACCAATAAGTGTAAAAAAAAACCTCAAAGAAGGACCAAAATTGCAAGCAAAAACTTTTTGGGACCAAAATTGCAAGAATAAACGTTGTGGGACCAAACTTGAAAAAATCAGATATACTTGGGGACCAAAAATGTAATTTACTGTTCTAATAATTTTACGACTAAGTTACTAAATTGGTCACTTTGCTTTTTGAAATTTACCATGTTTAGTCCAAAATTGAGACATGTTTCAGTTTTGGTCCCTTTTTCAAGGTTTTATATCAGTTTTGGTCCTTTTTTCAAGGTTTTATATCAATTTTGGTCCTTATTTCAAGGTTCCATGGACCAAAATCGATATGGAACTTCGAAGTAGGGATGAAAATTGAATAATGTTTTAATTTTGGACTAAATATAGTAAAAATAGAAAGCGTAAGGACCATTTTGTAATTTACTTTTTTATAATTTGGTTTAATATCCAAGTGGATGGACCATATCCGCAAAAAACTAGAAACTTGGACTAACCCTGTCATTTTGAGCATATCACAGGGACCAAAAGTGTAACTTACTCTAATTCCAACTTTCAGTTGAAAGAAGATTTATCAGTTAATGGAAGCGATGAAGAGGTGGACGATACCCACGCATTAGATACCGATGAGGATCTTAGTGATGATGCCAAAGAAAATATGCACGAAGAGGTAAAATGACTAAAATACCCACATTCATTTTTTTTTTTCATTGTAATTATGCTGCTCACAAATTGAGTTATTTAGATGGAAGGGTCAGTTGATGAGGAGTCGACTAAATCAGATGAAGAATACGATGATCTTGCAATGCAAGATATTCAAGAAAATGGATATTTAAATGCAGAATTCGAATCTAAAATTAACGTTTCTGGAGTCAAACAGAATGTTGACTGTGTTTTGAGAACAAAAAGCGAGCCATTGATGGATAAAAGATTGGCATCTAGAGTCAGAGGACGATCTTATAGCATTTCAGGTGGCTCCCAGGGTTAGTATTATGTAGAAAGTTGTCCTAAAAAGTGATATATTGAGTAATGAGTGTGTAGAAAGTTGATATAGCATGCAACAATGTTTCCTTTTCTTTGTTTCGAATGAAATTAATATTATATGCTAGGTAGTTGGAAGCTTAACTATTCACATGATTGTACTTGTCCCAATATGTCTTATCTCTTATGTTATTCGCATGATGAGCCTTTATCAATCAAATCACAGTCTAGATCACTGAAAGCTACGAATAATGTTTTGTGATATTTACATGAAACTAATAATTACAACCTTCTTTATGAAACTAATAATTACAAACTTTATAAAAGAAAAAGAGAGTGAGAGACCTTCTTCATGAGTTTTTTTTTACCATGGTGTTTTTTAAAAACTTAATTACCAAACAAGTATAGTTTTAAACATATTTACCATTTAGGGTTATATCAAGTCAAAAAAAAAAACAAAAAAAAAAAACGTAAGAACGTGACCCCAATACCCAGTTGACGTTCCGATACCCAGTCCCCAAAGTCGACGTCTTCAATCAATCGCGTCTATCGTCGTCGTCTTCGATTTCGGCCATAGCCGATGCGGACGGCTCCGATTCCGGCTATAAACGGATGCCGGCTGGTCCGCCTCCATCACAGAAGATTCCGGCGAGTACTCCACCGCAGAAGACACGACGGCGACCTGATTCTACTTCGATTCTGGCCATAGACGACCTCGACTGTAACTTGATTTCTTGTAAGTCCGACTCCTCTTTTGATTTTCAATTTGAGCTAGTTAACTATGGATTGATTCCTATTATTATTTGCTACTGCATTCCACTGTTATTTGCTTATTTGCAAACTGTTATTCCACTTGATTCCTACTCTGATTTACAATTGTAATTTGCTTATTTGCAATTGTTATTCCACATTTGATTCCTACTTTGATTTACAATTGTTATTTGCTTCAACATTCATATTTTGGAGCAATTTTATGATTGAATTTATGTTTTGTACTCATTTATTAGATGGAGGTTGTTACAATGCTTTGTTATTGGGGTGGGACAGCCTGTGATGGACCAGATGATATAAATTATAGCCAAGTTCCAAAAAAAAGCAATCAATGTTAACCGTAGAATACAATTTGATGAATTGGTCGAGCGTATATATCTTGCTACATCTTTTGATAAACAACTCCACCACATTAACTTAATCTGTAGATATCCATCGGTTGGTATTGGAAATGTTGTAAAATACATTCCTCTTCCCATCAAAGATAATGATGATGTTGGCAACCTTCTATTGGTGTTCCTTCTCTGAGAGCCGAAATAGTTGATAAATTAGGCTATACTCCTTCATACAAAAAGCTTTGGACTGGAAAGCAAAAGGCAATTGAACAAGTGTTTGGCAATTGGGAAGAGCCGTATGCTGCTTTACCAAAAATTTTGGGCGCACTTTAGAAGTTCAATCCAGCGACTATAGTCGAGTGGTGTGTTTCAAGATCAACCAATGCGGAACAGGTGGAGTTTAGACGTGTTTTCTGGGCTTTTGCTCCTTCTATTAACGGGTTTGCACATTGTTGACCTGTGATTATTATTGATGACACACACTTGTATGGTAAGTACACGGGAAAGATGTTGATTGCAATGAGAGTTGATGGTAATAATCAGATTTTGCCACTTGCATTTGCTATTGTAGAAAATGAATCATATGATATAGTTGGAATTGGTTTCTTTCTTATATCAAGAGTCATGTGGTGAAAGAGCGTGAAGGCATTTGTTTAATATCTGATCGTCATTTGGGAATCCTAAAGGTAGTCAATGAGCATGGATCTCCATGGTTAGAGCCACGTGGTTTTCATAGGTATTATTACAATTTTTTGTATACCTTTTTTCATAGTTATTGTTTATAAGTAACATTATTTTTTTTACTCTATAGGCATTGTTTACGACATTTTATCAACAACGTTAATGACAAGTTTCGTAATTCAGAATTGAAAGCTTTAGCTTATCGTGCCGGGAGTCAAAATCAAGTTCCAAAATTCAACTCCATCATGGAAGAAATTGGGAAGCTAAATCCACAAGCTCGACAGTGGCTAGAGAGGCATCCACCTGATAGATGGACACTTGCACATGATGGTGGGAGGAAATATGGGCTTCTCACAACAAATTTGTCAGAGATTTTTAACAGTGTACTTAAAGGTGCTCGTTTTTTTACCAATCACAGCTTGTGTCCAACTTACTTTCTATAGATTGGTACATTATTTTGAAGTGAGGCGTCCTTTAGGATCTAGTTCCCGAGCTAATGGAGATGCATATACTCCTCAAGTTGTTGTAAAACAAGTGGCTTTGATGTCAAAAGCAAGTGCACACTCATTGAGATCTTTTAATGGAGAGAAAGGTATATTTGAGTTGATAACTCAAAGAGGAAAAAATGTGCAAGTAGTTAATTTGGACAAAAAAACCTGCACATGTGGTAAGTGGGAGATATTTAAATATCCATGTTCTCATGTTTTGAGTGTATGTGCCAAACTATCCTTGAATAGTTGGCAATATGTTCATAAATGTTACTCCATTGCAGAGTATTGTTCTACTTGGGCATCCGAGTTTTCCGCACTTCCTCATGAAGCGTATTGGCCACAATCTTCATTTAGACAATTGCTTCCAAATTTAGAGCTTTTACGGAATAAAAAAGGTCGTCCTTGCTCAACAAGACTATGAAATGGAATAAACATCAAAGAAGAGAAAAATGGGTACCTTTGTGGGATTTGTAGGCAAAGTGGTCATAATCGGAAAAAATGTCCCTCTAAGCCAAGGTGAATGCAGAGACATTAAAGCTAATCGATTCAATCAATAGAAATATTTATTTTTTCATTCCATTTTTGTAAGAAGTCGTTATTGGATTTGTACCCAAAAAATATATCGTACGCTTGATGTTGGCTTTAATCTACGATGTCTAACATTATTGTTTATCAATTAATCTTATTTACAATTAAGGACATTTATTGAGATTTCATTAATTCTATGATGATTAAATGAGATATAATATATTTGTAATTTTTTTTATATAAGTTAATATCAAAGAGTTAAAAAAAGGTCAAAAATTATATTAAAAACACTAAAATTTAAAACAATAGCTGAAAATATTAAAAAAGTTAAAAAAAAATACTGTTTTGGTAAATATTTTGACTACTATACTGTTTTGGTAAATATATTTGAAACTACACCTATTTGGTAAATATTTTTTTCAAACACACCCATTTGGTCAAAAACTCCCTTCTTCGTAGCTTTACATGAGACTATCAGTAAAAGAATTGATATTTTGGAAGTGATATTTACATGAGACTTTCAGTCGACCAATATAATGGAAGCCTTATAAGAAAACTCGATGAATATGTCAACTATGATGGTGAATACGCTATCATATATAATTCAACTTGACATGAAATGTTCAGAAATTTAAAGACTTATTAATATAAATTTCATTTTAAGGCTGTTAAAAGATTTTTTTTTATTGCTATAACTTTGTCTTTGTAAGTTTTTTCACTAGCAACAATTAAGGTGGAATGAGGCTTTAACTCGATACAAAACAATTGTTCATATGGAAACGAGTGTAGGAGAATAATATTTTTATCGAGCACATCAACACTAATAATGTGCTAGCGGATCCAATTACAAAATCTCTAGCACCCAAAGCATTTTAACATGTCGTTAGTTTGGGTTTAAGGCTAGACCTAATATAATGTAATTCTAGCATAGTGTTTAATTGAAACTTTTAATTTTAATTATTTAAGTACTTGATTATTATTACTCCATAATATGTAATTTGTCTATATTAATAAGTTCTGCGCACTTACTTTCTGTATAGACAAATATATTGCATTACCTCCTAACTATAACGTCATTTGACTTAAATTAATCGTAAGTTCATATAAAACACTAAAGTATGATCGGTGGCGGTCCCATGTCTAAAAACGACATGTTATGTTGTGTTTTTATGCTTTTAGTGTTAATATGAAACAAGATGAATTTCATTTGGCCAAAATAATAAATACATACATATAGATAGTCACTCGGCCAAGTGAGAATGTTGAATATAAACCGGTAATGTGACCGTCAGACTATTTGATAATGATTTTTTGTGTTAGGTACAATTATAGTACTTACCATAACATTTTTCATAATGACATATCAGATCCCTACGATTAATTATAGTATGATGAATAAGACATTTATCCATAATTTGAGGGACCAATTTTATATGGTTCTATTACTTTCCCATAAGGTGTAATTGATCAACTAAATACATATTTAAGATAGGCATACATTTCATAGAGAGATTAATGTTTCTTCTCTTCCAACTTCTAAAGCCTCTCTACAAAAACACCATAACTATGTGTGTAATTCTATCCATCACAATCAATCACTTAGAGACCATTATGGAGACCATTATGGAAAATGCAAGAATCATAATATGAAGTAAGACATCTTTAACACCAATATCAAATTCTCCAAATAAATGTTTCTCAACTGGTTTGATGGTCCTTCAAGTTTATGTATAAATTGATTTTGATTTATACCTATTAATCAACAATTTAGTGTGCCTACGAACTAAGCAAGTGAAAAAATATGTATTATCCTTTTTTTTATAAACATCTTTTTCTCTACATTTTTTGACATGGATGGTTTTTATGAAAAAAGAAAAACGAGCAACACTTATTCATAGATTTTTATTACTTGATAGAAAATATATAAAAATCAAACCACAAAAAGGTAGAGAAAGAGAAAGATAGCAATATATAAAAAGGACCACATGGTACAAAATGGACCATGTCAATTCATTGTAGGAAAAAAATTATATTATAGGATCAAATTTTTTTTTTTGAAAATCAAAGATCCAAGCCCCCCCCCCCCCCTTCTTCTTCTTCTTCTTTTCTCTCTCTCTCTCTCTCTCTCTCTCTCAAAAAAAAATGATTCAAAATTTGGCCTATGGAGTGACTCTCTCATTTGAGAGATCATATGTTCATGTCTCGTTTAAGATATAGATGGTTCAAGTTTCGTTCAAGTCCCTCCCAAAAAACAAAAATCATTCAAAATTTGGCCTATGGAGTGACTCTCTCATTTGAGAGATCATGGGTTCAAGTCTCATTTAAGGCATAGATGGTGATAGTTAAAAATAAATTAGTTTGCTGTTCCAAAAAAAAAAAAACAATACCAACAATATGTGTTACTAGCACTTAGAACATTCATTTAATATTAATATATTTTAGCTTTAATACCAAATAAATGACCAAGTAAGTTTGTAAAAATGTTGTAATCGATCAAATACTAGTAAGCAAATAAAAATAAATACAAGGACACATAGATGTACGAGGAAAACCTTTGATCCTTTTGGATCTCAGACATAAAACATCGGGAGGTGATAATATCACCTGCCTTAGAACTTAAATTAATCAAAATTGTATTACAAGTGCTAGTTGGTCGTGTTGTAAGTGTAATCGAGTAATCAGAGAGTAGAAGCAAGAACATGTTTGTGTGTAGTGGATCAACTAGGCTTTATATATGTATACGTAACAAACTTTCCTAAATTCTAGGTATCTTCCTTGATTCATGCTTGACCTGACATTCTTGAAGGACTTCAACATTATTATGCATTGACCACGTGTCTTTAACATGTATGTTCTGTTCTAATCAAGGCTTCAAGTACTATATAAGAGATAACAAAAAACACGATGACAATCCTAATATATTAACTAAATCCAAGATCTTGGGCTATCCATGATGTTAGTATAAGTTCAAGATATTGAAAATAAATAGGAGTAATTTTTTGTACCGATAACAATTGCCCCCCAAAATCTTCAATTATGGAATCCTAGGAGTTGGAGATTTCTAGGCGCGAAATTCATCCGATAGATGATGATGTGACGTGGAACGTTTTTCCAAGATTGATCCTATCCATCCATGTCTATAGGGCTTTTGAACTTTTAATGGTTGAGACTTCAACGTTTAAATCATCTTATAATTTCAATGCATTCCCTCTTTGTAACGCCCCGATTCTCGAATACCAATTTATGGTTATAAATTCTCATGAATTCAAGATCTACTCGACGAGTTGGTTGCCTGACTCGTCGAGTAGCAGCGGGTTTGGGTCATGTGTTTAAGTGACAAACTCGCCAAGTCGGAAGAGTGACTCGACGAGTTGGAGCTGGAGGGTGAAACCCTAATTTCCGGGGTTTGACACCCTATTTAAGGGATCATTAGCCTCCCTTAGTCCCTTTGCAGCCTCTTGAGAGTCCAGAAACCCTAATTTGTGTGTGTGATCCATATTAGTGTAAATTTCAAGCTTGGAAAGAAGACCTTGATGCAAGAAGCGAAGATCAAGAAGTTGGAGGCAAGAACGTTTGTGGGTCTGAAGTCTATCTCAGCTAGCTTCATTTGAGGTATCAATTCATGATCTTGGCCTCATTCCTTTCTAGATCTCTTTGGATGAAGTTTAGGGCTTCTTGGCTTGGTTATGAAGCTATTCTTGGGTATGAGCTCAGATCTGAAGTTGTAACTTCAGATCTGAACTCTCTTTGATTTGTAAGTCCATAAAGCTTTCAGCTTTGGCAAGTATGAACCCCCCCCCTTAAGTGTAAAACCCCATTTCAAGCTTGGACTTGGCATTATGAGTCATTAGAGCTTTGCATGCATGTAAAGTTTGCAACTTTACGTGATAAGCATGCCGTGGGAAGTTGGATCTGCACTATGGAGTCTTAGCATGACGTAAACAACATCTGTATGGATGAAGGACTGAAGGTACTCGACGAGTCGCATGGTAGACTCGGCGAGTCATATGAAGATGGTCTTGAACTCGACGGGTTGGATGAACAAATCGGCGAGTCTGATGAAGATTGCCTTGGGCTCGGCAAGTGGCATGGTGACTCGGTGAGTTGGCAAGTTATGCAAGGAACTCGGCGAGTAACTGAGGGTACTCGACGAGTTGAGGTCAACATGGACTGTTGACCTTGATAGTTGACTTTGACTTTGGCCAAGGGTTGACCGTTTTGACTTTTGAGAATAATTGGTAAGCGGGTATTTATGAATTGGATCATTGATGGTTATAGGCGTTGGAGCTTGGGGGCAGTGTTTCGGGAGCGTGATTTCATGGTTCAGTCCGACATTGCAATGTGAGTTATCCTCACTATATCAATAGGGTCTAAGGCACCAAAGCCGACCCTATGGATTGTTATTCTGGTTATATTATGCTTGTATGCTGTTGTGATCTGTTAGATCGGTATCCTGGTAGATAAGATGTTGTATGCTATTATGATTGGTTAGATCGGTATCCTGGTAGATAGGATGTTGTTATGCTATTACGATCTGTTAGATTGGTATCCTGGTATATAGGATGATGCTATGTTAGTGACCTGGTTAGGTCAGTATCCTAGTTATAGGATGTTGCTATGATTGATGATTTGTTAGATCGGTATGACTGTTATATATATGCAAGAGTATGATATTTATGTACACATGTTTGTTTGATTTGGAGTTGGGTTGAGGCGGTCCTGCTTTGTGCTGAAGGCCAACATACCCAGGGCGGCCCGGATAGACTGAAGGCCCTGCAAAGGGATTCAGTCAGACCGAAGGCCCGTCGAGCGGTCTGGATAGGCTGTAGGCGCTGCGAAGCGGTCCAAACGTGCTGAAGGCTCGGAGAGCGGTCCAGATAGACTGAAGGCCTGCGAGGCGGTCCAGTCAGGTTGAAGGCTCAGTATGCATGTTGTTATGTATTTGTTGATATGATATGATTATGGTTCTATGAGGTTGGTATTTTGGGGGTAACTCACTAAGCTTTCGGGCTTACAGTTTCAGTTTATT